ATTCGTGAGTTGTTTATAATTTGATTCACTCTTCACTGCAGGGCTGACATCCCATTGTCTAAAACTATCATTTATAATAGACTACTATTACCGTTCACTATTCACATTTCGGCTTCGTGTTTCAGAGGTCTTGGATTAAAATCTCGGTACGTAAAACCGCTAAGCTGACATTTCTTCAGTTGTTCGAGGCAATCGCCGTATAGTCCGAATTACTGAAGGTTTCGTAAAATAATAAAAATAAAACTTAACTCAATAAAATAAACGCTTACTCCAACAACTGTCATGGAAACTACGCTCCCGACAGCACGTAATTTAATGTTGTGTGTTATAAAGACTATTAATAAACATATAACATATTCCAGAACAAAATTGTAGATCAAATTTCAAAGGACTGGGATAAAGAAATTTTTCGAAACACTCACCCCCGTTGCCATCAACATCTGCGAAGGGCTCTGGTTCGCAACTGACGATTTCATTGGTCGTCCACTCATCCGGCTTGAGACACGAGTTTCTCACCCTGGAAAGGACCAGATATCTTAATCCTTTCTTTCTGGCTTAAACGTTAATGTCAGTGGTAGACATATTAAACAGTTCCTAAACTTCATGTAACGAGACTGTAGTTCTTTAAGAGTGTAATTGTTTACATAAAAATCATGCAAAATATGTATGTCAGTCGTTCGTGAAGCACGAATGTTATAGACCTAATTTACCCGAAAGGAATATTAATCCAAAAATACGACAGTTACAGTTAATATTATTTACACAGGGAGACATATATCACCGATAATAAAATATATTCAAAAATAATAAAAATTCAATTTACGTAACAAGGATGATGAATGTTTAACTGACGAAACTCATTAAAAAAAAAATTACTCACAACAGAAAAGACGATGTTTTCAGCGATCAGACTTCGATATTCCGTTCCAGAAAAAATGTGTTAAAAAGCACAATACTAGACTTGTTCTCCGTAAAATAAATATATCAATCGAGATGACAACGATTTTCCAGAAACAAAACCAAAAAAAAAAAAATCAACTGGTATATAGTGGCGGTGGAATTATTGAAACTCAAATTTGACTCCCGAAAATTTCGTTGAACTGAAATAGAACTCGGGACCAACTGACAGGTGCTGCGCTCGTGGTGGTGAAACCGGG